GCATAGGCAGCAGCCCAAATCATCCAAGTGGAGACATCAACAGTTGTTCGAAGAGGAATGAAAGGCGTGGAGTTCACCCCACACGCCTAAAGATGCAGCAGCGACCACCACTTCAAGGAAGATGTCAGTCTTACGTATTTTCCTTTCTCCTCTCCTCTCTCTTTAAACTTTGCAAACATTACAGTGGAATCCCTGTATTAATTACTATGTGGAGGGTGGGGGGGGATAAGATATATGTATCTTAAGTCTGATGGAAGGCCTCCTTTTTTGAGACTGATGGGCATTAATAAATGCTGGAGTGGCACGACTCTGAACTAGTCATGTTGATTGACAGCACTGCCTTAATCTTGCTATTAGATGACAGAACAATGACTTGAATCCTATTCTTGAATAAAGGTTAACAGATGCATCAGCTTTTCTTTCTAATGTGTTTTCTTTAGGTTTTCGAAACATACGACACATCGCATAGTGTTTAACTTCACAGTTGAATTATGCTGCGAGTCTTGTCTGCAACCAGCAGTTATCCAATGCGTTGGACTCTCGCTGGTGTCTTGCCCAAAGATAGTATTGGAAGCGATGAGAATTTTAGGCATCGTGGTGATGTGCCAAGTGCTGATTTGCCTGCAGGTTTGCATTAGATTTTGATCCGCCTGTAGACTTCAATATATGTTTCTCTATGTTATATTCCTTATGTTTCTCTTACCTTTGATGCTTGCTTATAAGACACTTGGATTCGAGGAGAAATCTGCAAGTCGTATTGGCAGCTGACTCATAAAATAGAAACAGACGTCAGAGGTTCCACATGGTCCTCCTTTGATACATAGGTTAGAAGTTGTTCTATGGTTTCATGAAGAGGTTGAGAGAGAAAACTTGTTGAGGAGATTTGAAGTTCCAAAAGCATCGAGCATGTAGATATATATATATATATTTAGACTTGTCGAAGGTCTATAGCGATCTATTCTTTCTTGCCCGTAGAACATATTTTGATCGATATAAAGATATCGATTTCAATGAAACTGATTTACTGATGCAAAGATGTTGATATCTTTCGAGTTGATCAAAGTGTCTTATAAGTAAATTGAAGCAAGTCTCCGTAGACAACGTGACTCATGTCGGTCGCAGTGATATCTGCCACCGGGATGCCATGTCATCGTAACAGTACACGTCTTTGGATGCGTTGGCATGGGTACGGATATGTGATTCACGTCCCCGATCGAGGGCATAAAAGCCATTTCGCTCTCCTTTCGGGCTCGTGATTTGCCGGGTCACATGGTGCGCCCAAAACAGGAACGCGCCGGCACGTGCGGGATCGTTCTCTGCACGTGCCCGACGATTGCTGTTGTACTCGCTCCCTTCTAAATTCCCACCTTCTTCATCGTTTGATCGTTTCTCCTTCCCCTATTCTTAGAAACGCGAACAACCACTGCTTCTCTCCTTCCTAACCATCCCCTTCTTCTCTTGCATATACATATTCACAGGACGGAGGTCCATGCATGGTATGGGTTAAGTCTTTCCCTTCCTTTTATCCATTTTCTTCCCTGTATTTTGTCTTCTTTGAGATGATACAACGATTTGTCTTAGACTAGGCTTAGGGTCAAAGACAAGAAGCAAACAATACTACTCCCTTCTCTTTGTCCTTACTTTGTAGTTCATTAATATTGCGGGGAGTAGGCGACAAGGGCATGCAGGAGGACTTGGTTTTTCATGCAGCGGCGGCGCAGCTCTTCGGTGTAAGTGTCTTATAATGCTTCCTAGTTTGTTTATTTCTTTGTATTTTTTTTATTTTATATTGAGAGTTTTACGTGATCACTATGCACATATAACTCGTATCAGATTGTGTTGTGGAGACCTTTGTGTTTTTTACCTTTCTATCGTGAAATCGTTTGAAGTAAGTTCTCACATTAATTCTCATCAAGGTTTTCAGTCTGTAAAAAGGATTCATCACTCTTCTCTCTCTCTCTCTCTTAGTCTCTGATGTTTCATCTGGGAATTTTCCATGTGAATCTCATAAGCTTGTTTGTTGGTAATAATGCTTTGCGGATTGTTTCTTGTATCATAATCTAGACTACCTTGGAACTCAAAACTTCAAATATTTCTATTCATTATTTTCACTAGATCTTTAGATATTTCTCTATTCCTTATGCAGCTTGATATCCTTTATGGTGTTCCCAACGTTTACCGAGGGTTTCATCCTCTCCTTCTTCAATCTTCTACGTCATTTATTACATGATCTCTTTTCCTTTCACTTGTGTCTTGCACCTGAATGTTCTGTTCTCGATTCATAATTCTTCAGTAAACTCCTAATCATAAGCCCATATTGTTGGAGTTATTTATGTTGATCGAGAAACATCAATGCCTGAAAGTATTAATCTTTACAAAAACTTCATAGAGGGCGAGTCTTAGCACCACGAAAAGGAGGTCCCTTTACGATCTGGATTGGCATGCATCGTACTGGCTTAGCAGATCAGACAATAGGAATCACATCTGCAGGCGATTGCTCTCCTTGTTAATGGGACACATACTTTTGGTGGCTGAGAGATAGAAGGGTGTAGTAAACAGTAATATGAGGAAGGTGTTCACCTTTCTTCTAAGAATTCTCTTCCTAATGCTTGCCCTTCCCAAGTTCACATAATGTCCAATACATAAAGGGAACCCAATCCCAATCCATATCAATTTGGACAAGGCAAAGAGCACTTGCTTGTGGAGAATCTTTTAGATTTGGCTTTAGTGCATCCACCAAAGGACCAGTGATCTCGTTGGTCATCAGCTTCAAAGTCCTGAAATTTAAAGGTAGCTCTCATTCCCTAAACGTGTCAGCTTTGTACAACTGTTAACTGTTGTAAATGCTGTTGAGCATATACCTGTCACTGTTACAAGACAAACAAGTCGAGTTCCGTTCTTTTATGATGACTTGTGATTGATCCTTACATGAGCTCGGGGCCATTCACACTTTGATGTTCTTAGATTTATGGGATTAAAATGATATTTGCATGCTTTTCACTTTACATATTTCTGTAAATAACTTAATTGGTCGAAGTTTGTCTAACATCCACATGATAATTAAAATCATATTTATCTTGTTTTCCAAGCAGAAAAAAGAAGAATAAGACAGAAAAATAAATAAATCAAAGAATGAACTTTCATGTCTTGCAGAATATATTAATGGATCTGATCTACTGGCATATGGGTAAATGCCAACATCAAGTAAACTCTCCTCCTTGGTTGACCTTGTGAGATCATGGAACGGTCTCATGAGACGTAGGTCATCCTGAACAGTTGTGGTGAACTCGCTGTCATGATTGCCACGAGCCGCGTCTTTCCGTCCTATTTCTCTTCACGGCCAACCCTACTTTCCCCGGCCATCCCCCACCCCACCACCACCGGAAGTCAACCATACACTTTGACATTCAAGTCAACACCACAACATGTGTCGTGCCTGCCTGCCTCATCGAACCCAGAATGGCCAGTACGCGCCAAAAGCACGCCACCTTATCACATACCAATTGTCTTCTCCCGCTTCACTACGATTGAAAACTAATAATACGTTTAAGAAGACCATAGATAGACATCGAAATCTGTCAGTGTCTTATCAATACTTACTATGCAGTGTTGATCTCAGTATCTCTGACGCTTCTTGATGGAAGTGGCGTAGTTTATAGTGGGTAAGAATATCTTTATTTATCTTAATTTAATCGCTTTTACGTGTCTCTTTCCATGTGGCTTATTCAACGTAGACGCTTTAAAATGTATCTCTTTTGTGTGTTCTTTTTGCTGGAACAATCCAACTGTAGCAACAGTATGCACACTTCTTGTAGCTCCTTATTTAAATGGCTATTGCGCGAGCAGGAAGAGAATGAGGAGGGCATCTGCAGCTCAATCGCCCCCCGAATCCTTGACTTCGACGACGACGACGACGTCTCCCCCCTCGCGCTCCTCAACTACGCCGACGACGTCAACTCCTCATCATCTTCCGCCACTGCCGCCGCTGTGAATACCGGCACCTCGGCTTCCACCCCTCCCCGGTGCTGGGACGACGTCGGCTCCTTCTCCCCCTTCCCCTCCATCGACGCGCTCTTCGACACCCCTCCTGCCCAGCAGCCCGACCCCGTCCCCGCTGTCTGCTACCCTTCCTCCACCTCCTCCTCGTCGTTGAACCCTCCTCTTCCCGCCATGTTCCCGGTCCCTCCGCCGTACGCCGGAAACCACCACCTGAACCCCTTCGACCACCAGAATCCCATGGGCGTCGACGCGATCACGAACGGCTACCCGCCGTACTCCCCCGACGCCGCGGCATTCCCACCGAGCCACCAGCATGCGGCGGCGTACGTGCAGCGGCGGCAGGAGTTCACGGGGATGGAGGCGGGTGGCATCGAGGCGTGCGGAGGACCGTACCGCTTCTTTTATGCGGGAGATATATTGGCAGCCGACGTGTTGAGGCCCGACGACGGTCTCGCGAACCCAGCCGACGTGGCGGAAAACCAGCGGAGGGAGAATGATCATGCGTGGTACGGGCAGTCGCAGGCGCCGCCAACAGCGTACGGCACGGACGACTTACGGGTACTAACTGTTACTGTGTCTTTAAATGCCGTCATATTTTGCATGGCAAGCACGATTTAAGTGGCACTATGATTGGTCAACCCTACTGGAGACATAGAGACCAAAAGATCTAACGTTAAAAATACAAGCGCCCCCTCAACATCCTCGTGATCTAACTCCTAACCGGACAACCACATCATTCTCTTGAAATCCTCATTTGGCACCGCATGACATGTTTGGGTCCCATGTTGCCTATTCAAAATCATGTTGACGGGTTCAATTACTTTAGTGGGTCCATGAGCTAGATTTACTTGATTCTTATTCTTCGAATTCATCAGAGCATCAAGGAAACGGGTCTGAGATAATGTACACCCAATTCTAAAGCCCAATAGAGATGCCTGAACTGTTGAACAACCAATTATTAGAGACGGGAATAGTATCTCTCCAGCAGCACTCCTTTGACAAAAAGTTTTCAGATGCCTGATCTGTTAAACCATTATTCTACACAAGATTTGGGAATCGAAGCCTATTATTTATGTTGACCACATCACCAACAAATAGATTCAGCACGCCAAGTACAAATTGTCAAATCATGACAGTAATTTGGCACCTTATATCTTGGCCTTCTATTAAAAGTCTCATTTGCCGGGTAAAGGTGCCGATGGCAGGAAGTGGCTGCAGCCCAATGCCTCTGGCAGCTACTGATATATCGGCAATGGATGATTCCAGCTTCAAAGTAGGGCGCCTGTCAGTGGAGGCGAGGAAGGAGAAGATCGACAGATACATGAAGAAGAGAGCTGAGAGAAACTTCAGCAAAAAGATCAAGGTAAAAATCGATGGAATCAAAACTAATTTAACTGGTCATGAGATGTAAGCCTAAATGATTTCATCCTCTAACAGCCAAGTTGATCACAATACCTGCAGTATGCTTGTAGAAAAACTCTAGCAGACAGCAGACCAAGAGTCCGTGGGCGGTTTGCAAAGAATGATGAACTTGGAGAGACAGCAAAGTCTGGTTCCAGTAACAATGATTTTGATGATGAGGGAGAAGTAAGCACTCTTCTTTTCCGTTGTTGCTTGTTACGCAAGATGCATTCTTCCAAGATGAGTTCAGACTTCAGGTCTAATATACTGCAGTTCATAGCTTAGAAATCTGTCACATAAGTACATTCATAACAAAACAAAGAGGATCTAGCAAGGCAACAGAAGTTTTTGAGTTCATGCAAAACTAGAATTTATCTGCTAAAAGGTAGAAAGATTTTGAGGTTAGCTGGTAGGAAAATTTAGAAATTCAAAAATGATATAGAATTTGAAATCATAAGCCATAAAATTACTCCGATATTATTTTGCATTACATTTTTACCGAAGCATAAGAGACAATTTTTGCTTCCACACTCTCATGCTTCACTTCTAGCAGTTTTTGTTAGCACTTGTTAACACGAGAAATGAATAGCCCACCTCACTTTATCGTCTTCAATACAAATGATCAAAACATGATGAAATCTGAACACTAACTTGATAGTACCATGCAGAATATAAAAACGTAAAATATATGAAGAAAGAACTAATACAATCAATGTTATTGAGGTTAAATAGCTTAAAAGACAATCAATGTACAAATTCAAGCTACATTTTGAAGATTCAATTTTCTTATGATCAGAATAAAAGAATCAAACACTTACATAAAAAGGCTCCAGTCGGAATTCACTCACAGGCTGTAGCATGATTTAAATCATGGATTCACAGGAAACAAGATTTTATAAATGAGCCTCAGTATCTAAGCTTACTTCAAGAAGTTGCTCTTACTTCACTAGGAGAAAGCATATCTTCCAAATTTTGAAGCTACAGGAAACAAAATTTTATAAATGAGCCTCGTATCGAAGCTACCTTCAAGAAGTTGATCCTACTTCACCAGGAGAAAACATATCTTCCAAAATTTGAATCTACAGGAAACATGATTTTATAAATGAGCCTGGGTATCTAAGCTAACTTCAAGATGTTGCTCCTGCTAGGAGAAAGCACATCTTCCAAAATTCTTGTAACATATTGTTGTTTCTATTTGCAGGTGGCGGTGAAGGAAGAAGACATACTTGACTCGGACATCCTTACGCACATTAGTGGTGTGAACTCTTTTTCGTACAACTTTACTCTAGAATCTTGGATATGAGCACAGAAATTAAGATCTGAGAAGTCTTTAGTTTTGGTTGTTGTTTTCATCTGTAGCCATTCAACAGCTGATGTAGCCAATATGACCATTTAATAAAATGAATGACCCAGAAACTGATGTTAGCACCACAAAGTTTTTTACCCCCATTGTCTCATACCATTGTTTCAGCAACAAGAAACATATCTTCAACCTTAACACCATAGGCTTTGTAAGTTACAAAGGTTGAATAACATGTAAGTTTATACATGATTTTTGAAACAAAAAAATAGAGTGAGAAAAACAAAGAATTACAAGAAAAAGTTTCTTACGGATGCATTGTACCTAGTTAGCATGAGAACTTTGGATCAACGTTTTTCAATGTCAACAAAGATACACAAAGCAGAAGTTTCTCAGGGATATGCATTCCACCTATTCAATGCAAGAAACTTTGGATCAATATTTTTTGACATCAGACTCCAGTTTGATTATGAAACAGGAAAGGCAAGATGTCTCATGACAGCACACATAAGAAATGGTGGGTTCTCGAGTATTCTGGATCTTCAGCAGATACAGTAATTAAATAAACAATATGGAGAAAAAAAGATCCTGACATGATAAAGAATGTATTGTTGGTCTTAACAAGAATGATCAGGAATGTAAGGTGCAACTTCTTTTTGCTACAAAATCCAGAATACAGTATGATGGCACTTATCAATTAAGGATATGTTTTCCCTCTTCAAAAGAGCATTTCACTCAGCTACTGTGTCCCTAATCCGTTGTTTAATACTTGAAGAAAGCCTTAATCCAAATCCTGAGATTATTTTTTCTGACTTGACTGACTGAAATAGGTGTAGCCACTCATAATGCCATATTATACATCTCCAGTCAATGTAGCATACACGACAAATGAAGAAGCAATCTCCTCTTCAACAAGCTCAGTGATAATGACAATGAGGAACTGAGTCTTGAACAATGCTAAGTCCGTGGTACTGATGATTTGCAGGATACTTTTCAATCATCAGTCATAGAAAGCTGTTCACAAGCTTATGTTATCAATTTACAGCTGCAACCATATATTTATGTTCTAATTAACAGACAATATGAAAAATATACAGTAATTATATCAAGGTCATCGGTATTACCTCGTTTACAGGAATTGATTTAAGCAAAGCAATACAGAAAGTCACAAACCTAAAGCCATCTCACCTGAAGGAAATTGCTCTGCTCGAAGAACTCTCGTACATCCACGGAAACCATCAAAATCCGGTTTTTTATAATTCAAACGAGCTCCATACCTCGAATCGCATCCCAAAAGTCGACGCTCCTGCGGGTTCCTGGTGGACCACTTGGTCAACGATTAACTGCCCCTGAGAACTCAATTGTAACGTTTCAGGAACCCTTGACCAGCGGACAATCCGGGGGGTGGGGGTCGTGTATCTGAGAAGATTGGTGGCGCCAATTCAAGCTTTAGGCCGCCCGATCGCAGCGGAAGGGAGGCTCCGGCCGGATCGAGGCGTTTCGGGCCCTGTAGCTCTTGGGGAAGGATTGGAGCAGTGGAGCATTTGACGGGCCTTGGAGCATTGATTTCGGCGGAGAGGGGATTGAGGGGCTGCGATCGAAGTGGCAAAAGGGAGGCGAAAGTAAATGATCGCGTCAGATATCGGAATTGGAAGAGTCGTGTTTGGATCGAGGGAGGGAAAGGGGATCGGATGTCCATAAAGGCCCATATAAATGTCAGGCCCCATATAGAAAACAGGAAGGAGGGCGTTGTCGCCCATCAACGTTGATCCAATTATATTGTACAAAGAGTCCTTCCGTGGTATCTTTTCTTATTTCACTTCCGTGGCACGTGTGCATCCACACATGAAAGCCTGTTGGAGCGTGTATATATATATATATATATATATATATATATATATATATATATATATATATATATATTCTCTAACAGGCTTTCAAAAAAAGATTAACTTAATTTAGTGGTCTTATGATTAAATTATTCTATTACTTGGCCTAAAAGAAAATCTTATGAGATAATTGATACTTAATTCAAGTGGTCTAAATCATGAGTATAAATAATAATAAAAATAGTAAATTCATGTAGTTCTATAAATCAATTGAATTCATCTTTTATTTTCATTATGGGACTAAACTGGTCAAATTTTGAGCTGGGTTTCACATTTGAGGAGTATAAAAGACCAACGATGATGGAAAATATTGACCATTCTTGTCAAATATATTTGGTTATCATAAAAAAATTCAGAAATCTAACAAATAGTCAATGACACATGCCGTCGAAGATGAACTACTACTACACTCAGAAATAGATTATATCCACATTTAGAATTTGACCAACAATATGAAAATAGTTAAGATAAAGACTAGTTCTTCTGAGAGTGACCCAAAAGAACATTAAGAATTTGACCAACAATATGAAACTAGTCAAGATAAAGATTAATTCTTCTGAGAGTGAAGTAAGAATGCATGGTGACAATGGCAAGGGTGAGATAGGCACGAGTCTTGGTATTTTAATATATAATAAATGCTCTTATGAAATAAATTTTCCACAAGAAACTTTTGAATCCTACAAAACTTAGTCTAACCTCATTGTTCAAACACAAATTTTTTTCTTCTTAGTCACTATTCCCACCCAAATTAGAGGTCATGGTCTTAAGCTGACCAAAGATATAAAGTAAAAGCTGAATTATTTTGAATCTTTTGAACATAAAAAACGAAAAATTCTCGAGACTAAGCATTTTCATGAATGATGTGAGATATGTTCCTTAAATACAAAACATTTTTCTTTGACAGGATTTGTGACACATCCTATCTATACAAGTATACAAAAGAAAATGAAATACCAAACTGTACTGCTGCACATATACTGTCTGCACATCGTCTTCTTCTTCCCTCGGCCAAAACAATTTCTTCTCTTACAGCTCGATTAATTCATCATTCCTGAAAACCATTTAGCATACCGATTGTAATCGTTTCGAACGGCTGAGGAATGCAAGCTTGGGTTTGAGCAGATATCTCCTGCGCGACGAAACGCATGGAAGGACGCGACGATGGATTGCTGCTAATGCACGCCAGTGCCACCTTCACGATGAAGACGACCTCCTCTGCTAACTGGCTGGCCGGAGCAGGCAATCGTTGGTCCAGCGTTTCCTTCAAAAACAATTCTTTTCCTTCCGGCAACGAAGGCAGAGAGGAAATGAGTTCCCCTGGGTGCTTCCCCATCATGACTTCCAGTGCTACAACCCCAAAGCTGTAGACATCGCATTTCTCTGTCACCCTCATTGTGTAAGCGAGCTCTGCAAAACAAGTTCATCAGGTTGAATCATATAATGTCCAGGTGAATGCAGTATGAGAATGGAAGAGGTGTTGTTACCTGGAGCCATGTAGCCGTAGGATCCAGCAACAGCGGTCCAATTGGAAGAATCAGGGTTCAGCAACTTCGCTGTTCCGAAATCGGACAAACGAGGCTCGAAATCCGACTCCAGCAAGATGTTGTTCACCGAGACATCACGATGCACGATCGGCAGGGAGCAATCGTGGTGCAGATAGGCCAAGGCATGAACCAACCCGTGTACAACCTTCAATCTCATCGCCCAGTCCAGCTTCGTCCCCCCTTCCTCCCCATGCAGCACCTCCCCCAAGCTACCCCTGCTGACGTACTCGTACACCAAGTACATGTATCCGCTCTTCGAGCAGAACCCGTGCAGCTTCACGATGTTTCGGTGTCTGACCTCTGTGAGAGCTGCGATCTCGTTGTCGAAGCTCTTCTGATACATGTCCACCATCTCTTCAGAATGCGCAACGTGAAAACGCTTCACAGCAACTACCTGCCCTGTCGGCAGCTCCGCCTTGTAGACGCTTCCGAATCGTCCTCTTCCAATGCAGCAAGCTTCGTCGAAGTTGCCCGTCGCATTCGCAATGTCCATGAAAGTGAACTTGCATTCTCTTTCCCATATCGATGACTCGGAACTTTCCCTGGCAGCTTTCTCCATCTCAAGCTTCTCTCGAGGGTCATCCCTGCATAATAGCATGATCGTTATGACTGTGGCCGCCAACACCAACACCCCCACAACTGGAACAACGATCGCGATGACGAGTCGTTTGTGATGCTTGTGAGAAACTTCACCGGAGGTAGAGAAACAAGAAAGTAAGCCTTTCACATCTCCGCATAGCCCCAGATTACCCACATAGGCTTTGAAAGATGCATTCCGGAAAGCACCTCCTTTTGGAATCGGACCTGTGAAATTGTTGTAGGAGAAGTCCACAGATTCCAGGCTGACCATTTCTGATAAAGAATCTGGGATTTCACCTGAAAGATTGTTATGGGAGATGTTGAGCTTTTGCAGCCTCGTCAGCTTCTCAAGATTTGATGGTATTGTCCCAGAGAGAGAATTGCTACTCAAGTCTAATAGGATTTGGAGAGAATTCAAGTTTCCTAGCTGATATGGTATCTCCCCTGTCAACTTATTCATGCTCAGATCCAACAACAACAGGTCGTTCAGATTAGCGAGCTCCGCAGTTACTCGGCCAGTGAGTTCATTTCCTGATAGATCAAGATGTGTTAGTGGATCAAGCTCTCCTAGCTCTGAAGGAATCGAACCTGTTAACATGTTGCTGCTCAAGTTGAGCTTAAATAAGAACTCCAATTTCCCGATTTCAGGTGGGATGCCTCCTGCCAGATAGTTTGACGCCAAGCTCAGATCTTGTAGATTGGTCATGTTTCCCAATGCTGCGGGAATGTCACCGGAGATGCTATTGCCGTCTACGTGCAAGTAAGTGAGGCTCTTGAACTCTGCCCAGTCCGGCGAGAGCGTGCCAGTCAACTGGTTTCCAGTGAGGTCTAAATAAACAAGGTCGGGGTGTACTCCGAAAGCTTCTTCTAAGTTCCCACTGAAGTGGTTCGAGTCCAACCGGACTCGAAGCAGCTTCGAGCAATTCCGCAAACAAGACGGCAAATAGCCGGAGAAATTGTTGCTATTCACCAGGAGGTGGTGAAGGGCGAAGCCGGTGCACAATCCTCGAGGCAGTTCACCGGAGAAGGAATTGTTCGAGAAGCTGACGTTCTGCAACAGGCCATTCTGTCCGAGGTCTCGGGGGATGCTACCAGCGAGGTTGTTGGTGAAGACGGATAGAGAAGCAAGGTTTGGAAGCTCAGCGATGGTACCTGGTAGCTCCCCCTCTAAATTGTTGGTGTTGAGGTCAATGCTAGCCAGTGCAGTCATGTTTCCAATCTCCTCCGGGATCGAGCCGGTGAGATTGTTGTAGAAGAGATTCAAGACAGATAAGTTCGTGAGGTTGCCGATTGTCGAAGGGATTGTACCCGTCAGCGAGTTCTCTGACAGATCCAACTGGAACAAGTTCACCAAATTCCCAATCTCCACCGGAATTGGACCGGAAAGATTGTTGGTGTAGAGGAAGAGGTATGTCAGATTCGTCGCTAGTCCAATCTCCGAGGGAATCCGCCCAGTGATGGAGTTGTTCTGCACCTGAAAGGAAATAAGCTGAGGCCAACTACCGAAGAAGTCTGACGGGATCTTGCCGGAAAGCAAGTTGGAGGAGAACCCGAACTCCCTCATTTTGGTGAGCTTCACAAAGGATCCTGGAAATTCTCCCTCGAGCCGATTGGTAGACAGTTCTATGTAGTTCAGATTGGTACAGTTGCCGAGTTCAGGAGGGATGGTGGAGTTCAGTCCTGCCAATTTGATGTCGAGGCGTTCCAGCTTCTGGAGCTGACCTAGCGAAGGTGGAATCGGTCCACCCAATGAATTGCTGTAAAGCTCAAGAACTCGAAGGCTGGAAATGGATCCTAGAGTCGCCGGCACCCCTCCGACGAGGTTGTTTCCTCCCAGGCGAAGGTCTCGAAGCCGCGGTAGCTTAGTAAGAGAGGCTGGAATTACTCCTTCAAAGGAATTGAATGAAAGATTCAGGTACTCGAGGCTTACTAAGTTGATAGCCAATGACTCTGGGATTGGACCTGTGAATCTGTTCTCTGAGAGATCAAGGTATGTTAAGTTGGTGCATTTCAGTATGAACGGAGGGAACTCTTCTGTCAGGCTGTTGAGGAACAGATCGAGGTATGTCAAAGAAGGCATGCCGGTGAAATTGGAGTAGTCCGGTGTTTCCAAGTAATTGGATCCGAGGTCGAGGAGCTGCACCTTCTGCAGACCGCTAAGCTGGTAGGGTATCCCTCCGCCCAAGCTGTTGTTGTCGAGACGGAGCTCGAGGAGCTCCGACAGCTGCCCAATCTCCCGCGGAATGGATCCGCTGAAGTTGTTACTGCTGAGGTCTAATGAGGTGAGCTTGGACAGAGCAGAGATGTTGGAAGGGACGGCGCCGGCGAGGTTATTGTAGCTGAGATCGAGAGTTGTGAGGTTGGGCAAAGAGGAGAAGTCCAACTTAACGAGAGTGCCGACGAGGTTGGAATACGGTAAACTCAGCTGCACGACGACGCTGCCGCCGGAGTCGCAGCGAACGCCGAACCACTCGCATGGGGTGGTGGAGTTGGCGAGGGACCATGAGGCAAGAGAGTCAGGCTGGAGCAGGCTGGATTTCCACGCTAGAAGAGCTTGCGTTTCTGTTTCTGCTGCGGTGTTCGAAGGCGAGAAGGAGAAGAGGAGGAAGAGAAGGTTGAGGAGGGGAGTTGGGGCATGGATCAGCTTCATGGCTGACTGAAGAAAATGGAGGTTGCTGTAGCCACACGGTGGCGGAGAAAGATATAAGGCTGAGGGGAGGAAGAGGACGAGGGTGTGAAATCATTTGCTTTTTGATTTGAATAAACTTCCATGCCCAATTTTTCCAACTGTGGAATTAGTGAAGGTCTTTGGACTCTCTTTAACGGCGAGGGCGACAGTTAATAGTGGATGTGGCTGCTTTTTGCTGGATTATTCACATCCTATCTAATTGAACACAACCTGTGAAGACCACAAATATATATATATATATATATATAGTTTCTCGACAGATCCATTGTACTGGGTTTCTATTAATACATGATTTAAAGAGAACTAATATGCACCATTTTACCTCTAAATGTAGAGATTATTTTCACATAAATTTAATATGATGAAAAATCTAATCTGAAAAATCTGAAAAATCTAGAGAATTCTTTGTCCATCATATAATCTAATTAAAAAATCTAAAAAAATACTTACCAAGTAGATTCTTTTGAGTCTAACTTTATGAAACATTACTAGAATTTATTGGATAGGCAGTTGAACTAAAGCCTTAACAGACTAAATTATGGCAAGAAGGGTTAGTTTTTGGAAAATTAATGATCTTTTAGCTAATTCTTTGTGACATACGGTGGATGGTACTGGGATTTTATAAATATTTTAGGATTTCTAAAGTTGATATCTTTATGTGACAGAATTCTAGTAAAAAATTTGTCATGAAGGAGTAAACTCTAAAAATTAAGATATAATTATTTTATAAATATCTCATGTATCTTTAAATTTAAGTTTTTCTATAAATTATCCAAAGAGGATGCTTTATAGAACTTATGGAGAGGCTGAATATATATATATATATATATATATATATATTCTTTAAGTTTATATGAGATAATATACAAAAAGATTATATTTAAGTAAAGATTATTCAAGAATCTTATAATTAATATCACTTGATGAAGAATTTGATTTTCACCATAGATGAATGTCTAAAATTTTAATCTCATAAATCTTAAAATTAAAGAACTCGTAAGAGAAATATATAAAATTAAATTTATTAAAAATAAAATTTATAATGCATGCCAACTAGGAAAACATATTAAGATTAGGTTCAAACCTAAAAGTTAACTATCTCTAGTCCATTACAACTAATTCATATTAATTTATTTGAATCCATTGATATCACAAGTCTATGATGTAACAAATATTTTTTTTAATTATTGATTATTATAGTAGATATTCTTGAACATACTTCTTAGCATATAAATATTTTAAATATTTTACTAAATTTTATAAATAAGTTTAAAATAAAAAATATTTTATGATTTCCTTTATTTGTAATTATAGTGATGAATTTAAAAATCATATTTCAAAAAAAATTTATGATTTGAATGAGTATAATCATAATTTATCCACTCCAAAAAATTTACAACAAAATAAAATTATTGAGAGAAAAAATAGGAGCTTATAAGAGATGATCAGGACTATACTTAATGAATATAACATATTCAAAATACTTTTAGGTTGAAGCCATTAATATGATATTCTATGTCATGAACAGTATTTTTATAAGAAACCAATATATCATATTTCAAAGTTTTTTATTATAAATATTTTATTTTAAATGATAAAGATATCCTAGGAAAATTTGATGTAGAATTTGTGAAAGCATTTTTCTTAGATATTCTTCTATCTTATCGAGTTTTCAATAAGAGATTCTTAATCTTATCGAGTTGTCTTTTATGAATCTCTTGCAATTAAGAAAAATAATTTTGATTATGATTTTGAATTTGATAAATTGAATTTGAATGAGGATTTTTCTTCCTAGAACAACTTGAATACATTTATTTCCAAAGAAAGCTTATCTATAGAATAAAAATATATAGATGCACATCCTAAATAGTTAATTATTAGAGATACATCAAAAGTTATTCAAACTCATTATTCGTTTAAAAATATTTATATAAATATTATTTTTTATTTTAAATTAAGCTTAAATAAATAATGTTCTTAAAGATGACTAATGAGTCTCGGCAATATATAAAAAATTAAATCAATTTGAAAGAAATAAAGTTTGAATGCTTGTTCCTAGATCTAATGATCATCTTATAGTTGATATTAAATTAGTCTTTAGGAATAAGTAAGATGAACAAGATGTCATAGTTCGAAACAAGGCTAGATTAGTAGCCAAAGAATTCAACCAAAAAGAAGATATAGACTATTGATGGTGTCATGATTACCATTGACTGGTAGGTTGGCCCGATTGGTTTAGTGCCGAAGGTGCAGATCCATCCTCATGTCTCATCCATGCTGATGTAGGGCTGTTGACATGGTGAACTGGTGCAAGAGGTTCGCATGAGAGGTTGTTTGTCAAGAAGGCTCTGACCTTAGAGCGAAGAGGTCAGGTAAAGGGATCGGGGTCTTCTTAGCTACATGGTCCTTTATAAGCCACCGAGTCATCTTTCGATAACGGAATCAACTCTTGGATGCTAGCGATCCTACACAATAGGTCGGTGTTGGGGGACTTCACGGCTCAACCCCTTCGATGCTTAAGTTAGTGCGAGACAGAGGGAGAAAGAGAGAGAGTGCAGTATAAGCTATATAATTGATTCGTTTACAGAATGTTAGATAGTTGATGATGCCTTATTGTCATACAACGATTCCGTAATCCCAATGGTGTATCTGGTCCTTAGACTTGAGACACTAAGGATGTCATGTATGAGTGCTCCACTCTTTGATACTAGACTTATAGGTATGAATGTGTTGGGAAAAAACATATTAAAGCGGAATATTCTTTTCCCTCTTTGTGTATCAAAATGGGTTCCTCATCAAAATACAAACTTGATATCCAAATAAAAATATCAATCAGCACAGCATAAACAATAGAGCATCAACCAGTATAGTATAAACAATAGAGTAAATAATCAATCACATAATGAGACCAAATTTTTTTAACATGAAAAACCTAATGTGGGAAAAACCACGGGACCGTAGTCCACCTCAAACTTCCACTATCAATAATAATGATAACAGGTTTATAGTAGATCTTCTCTAGAATAACTAGAGGATTAGAATAACATCAAGATCATAGATTTTGGCTCAAGAATAGCACATCTTCATCACATAAGTGGATCTCCTCGTAAGAGAATTCTAGGTCTCACAACATGGATATAGCAGAAAAGTACCTTAGAGAGGGTAAACTATAGATCGACATCATTAAAATTGTAGAGTTTGCTGCAAAGATTCTCCACATAAAATTTGGGTCAAAACTGATGACGTTTGGCCACCGATCGGCAAGCAAAAAACTTAAAAACCTTATTTTTTTCTCTTTGTTTCTCTCTCTACGCCGCCGCTCGCTGCACGCTCATCTGCACACACACACACACACACACGCTGCACTCGTTCACAGCGTGCACACACACGCTACACCAAACCCTATCTCTCTCTCTTTTTAATTTCTGCCTTTGATTTGAGCTCAATAGGCCCAATTTATCCAAGCCCACGTATGGGTCGTACCCAACAGAATGTTCCAGATCTAGCGTAGTCAATTATCAGGAGTGGTAGTCAACCTTACGAGGGCTATTAAGTATCGATAGAGAATCATCTACTCTCGGTGTCATGAGAGAAATATCTCATGTGTTCTTGCTTAGACAAATGTCTAGCCAAGGTCATTCAGATTGAAATCTTTAATATACGCAGTTTTTTATTTTCTGAATTTTTGCGTACCAATCTTCGCACGACGACGAACACATATTTGGGAAATTAGGAATTTTGTTTTCTATTCTTCCACTACGCATGTGATATTGGCCCCCCCCCAAGATTTTCTAATAGTGATATCAGAGTCAGGTTATTCGTGTGAAAGATTGGTTTTAAATGACTAGTGTTGTATTTTGGAGAAGCTTTTAACGTCAAAATCATTGACGTAAAAGCAAGAAAGGACAGCAACAGTTGTTGCCCTCGCAGATGGCAGCCTTGCCTGCCATCTACGTGCAAGGGGATGGCGACCGGCAGGCTACTATTAATGATTTACGACCAGCGGCCTGGTGCCGACGGTTTACGGCCTGCCTGCAGCAAGCACCACCTATGGGTTGGGCGCCCGCAGGCAAGGCAGCCTGCAACGGCGGTCGCAGCAAGCAAGGGGAGGAGGACAATTAGGGTTTTTAGTAAATGATAGTTTTTTCCCTCAGAATTTCAAAAATTTTAGATTTTGTCTTTTGTCCAAATTATAAAAATACCCCCAAAATTTAAAAAATTCCCTACATATCCCGAAATTTTAAAAAATATTAATTAATTAAAATATTTAATTGATTATTATTTTTATTATTATCTAGTAGTCCTACGTGATGATGATTTATACATGTGATGTATGATATGTGGACGGATAATCATGGACCGTATGATGTGTGTACTTGTGATTATTATTATTGGGGCTTGCGAGCTTTCATTTTATTTCTCATTTATTGTTAGGCCTGCTTGCTCATGATTTAGTTGTAATCACATGAGGAGACGCAGCGAGAGAGTGAAAGTGATAGTGGGACCCACAAGACCGACACGGATGATCACGGCACATGGAGATGCACCGAGATGCCGACGGAATCGACAATGATGAGATGAATGATTACAGGGCATGGAGATGCTCCGCTGCACACATAGATCTTGATGTGAGTGATTAGGCCCATTGACTTGACCTGGTCACATTAGATTGTGGTCCATGATCATATGGTGTAATTGCTCATGTGATGTGTCATTGTTTATATACCTACTATATATATATAT